TACACACACACACACCCCAGCAAGATTCTAAACCATGTTTTAGTCTTGATTTAGAAATCCAGTATGTGGGCAAAAAAACAATAACAACACAACCTATTTATTAACATCTCCCAACTCCAGATGCCACCACAACCAGTTGTAGTTAGATCAAAGACTACCTAAATCATTACTTTCTTTCCGCTTTTGTGCATGAGGAAGAACTTGAGTATGTGAGGATTTCCAGCTCCATCAGGCACCAAAATCAAAAGCTATCTGTAGGTGCTTTCCACATGCAGATGTAGAATTTAGTAAGGTAAAGTTTCCCTTGCTCGAAAGCCAGTCTAGGGTTGCAGTGCTCATCTCCGTTTCAAAGCCGAAGAGCCAGCGCTGTCCGAAGACGTTTCCGTGGTCATGTGGCCGGCATGACTAAACACCAAGGTACACGGAACGCTGTTACCTTCTCACCGAAGTGGTACCTACGGTATTTATCTACTTGCAATTTCTTGCTTTCGGACTGCTAGGTTGGCAGGAGCTGGAACTAGAGATGGGAGCTCACTCCGTCATGCGGCACACTCGGGTCTCGAACTGCTGAACTACCGACCTTCCACAGCCTGCAGTTCAGCGTCTTAACCACTTGAGCCACTGCAGCTCCATTTTTAGTATCTGACATGTAATTGAGTTTCTAGCCCTTTTGATTGCAGGAATCAATTATAAAACACTTAGAGACAGTGTTTGATGTTATCTTTTAAGTTCATGGAGGAGGAGTAGCTAGCATTGATCAGGATTTTCAGTACTCCTCATCACTTCTTAGTTCTTATTCATGGCTTTTATTAGCCAAATAAATGGTACAGACTCATATCACAGAATTTGTTTTTCCTGGTACAAAATCAGAGTTAGCGTGACCAGAACTGCTTTTTCTTAAGGGGGGGGCTAATTATTTATTTTGCCCAGACAGACCCTTTACTTTCTGGGTTTTCTCAGTCTCCCACAGAGCTTCTCCTGGCAATGGAGACTATCTCCTCCAGACCCTTCCTGTTTACACAGGGACTCCCACAAGAAGCAGGATGATACATCCAAGCCAATGTCTCCCTAGAAAAGCCATCCTCTTCTAACTCCCCTTTCCTTCCTAAACATATAATTTCCTCAGCCCCCTCAGGCCATTCTGACAGGTGGTGTTGGTCTTCAGCATAACAAATCTTCTGCCTCCCCCACCAGCAGCAAAAGAAGAAAGGTTATTCTAACATGTTGCGTGCTTTCCCTCCCAGCCGGTGTCTCCATGGAAACATCCCCATTACTTGCAGAGATACTTCTGTGCCCTTGTTTATGTTTTGATGCATTTTCCGGTTTGTTTTCAAGGCCACGGTGTTCATCCCAGCTTCTCTTGCTGAAAAAAAATCCAGCCAGGAGCTGCTGTTGCTGTTACATGGTGATGAGAACGAAAACCCTTAGGCCCTGGCTGCCAGCTCTCTTGGTCTAGCCCATCTGACCCAAATCTTTGCTGGCAGCTTAGAGAGAGAATCCAGGATTTCCAGTTTCAGTTCATTCCCCTGGCCTTATTACATGTATCTCTGCAGATGTTTCAAAAAGATGTAAGAGTATATTCACTGTGCTCCCAAGTGCTGCAAAGAGGACATAGGCAGAGAAGGGCTGGAATTCTGTTTCTGATAGTCTGCCCCAAAGAAGGGGAACAACCAGGTATTAATACCAGTCTCAAAATGTTCACAACCAGGGAAAGGCCTAGGATCAGTAATGGATCACATACTTTGCATATGCACAAAGACCCAAATTCAATGTCTGGCATTTCCAAGTAAAGGCTAAAGGTAGTTGATGTTGGGGAGGACCTTTTTTATTTTTTGGCCTAAAGACAGTGGAGACCTGCCCCCTGAACTAGATGGGCCAGTGGTCTGACTCAGACCATTCTGATTCCACAGCAGGGGAAATAAAGTCTTTCCTGTATGATTTCCATGCAGTCTGTTTATAACTTTACCTTGGAAACTACTGTTCCCTGAGCTAACAGCAGGAAACCCATAATTTCCAGTGAATGATCTACTGCTTACCAGCGGTCTTCACTCTGTTTGCATGCACATCAGACTGAAAGCAGTACCTGTACCGACTATGGGTGTTGCAGGCTACAGTCCACATCTTCTAATGATCCCCCTGTACTTACTTTCAGGAGCCGGTCAGCACATTACCTGTAATCCAGTAATGCTCTATTTTTTATAGAATACAGATTTACAAGATCCTATTTGGGGAAACTGGCTATAGATTTTCAAGCCCATTTCAGAAATCCCAAGTCAGCAGTGGCAACAAGAATAACTTTTTGTAGCTTGAGCAACCTGTGACTAGATGCTTGAGTTTAGATTATCACAAACTTTCTGACATGGAAATATTTCCAATAAAAAGAGTATCCAAGCCTGAGATTTTTGCAGCGCCATCCTGTACAGAGTTACTCCAGTCTGAGCCTGTTGAGTTGAATCCAGCAGTGCATGAGTGGAAAGGAATATATGCTTAGCGCAGTTCTTCTTGCGCAAACAGCCGTTCAACGACTGTAGCAACACATACTGTTTCAATATGATTTTTAACGAAATAACAGTGTGCATATGGAACAATGGAATGTACAACAGATGGTTCACATGATTTATTTTAATTTGGTTTTGAAATTGTATCAGAAGAAATACCTTGTGCTATGTCTTGTGCACACGAAAAAGATAGTGGAGATACAATCACTTTCACTTAGCAGCAGACATGAAGGAGTAATTTTAGCACTTCTGCTTGCATAAAGACTGTTGAGCAGATGGAAATCTTTTATGGCATCCAACCCATTGGAATTACTGTGTTAAAGACTAGAGTAAATCTGCATAGGATTGCAGTGGCCTTAGTTTGGAGAATGGTATATAACACTTTTACCTGTGCCTTTAAGTCTATTTTTAATCTTTATTGCACTTGTGTATCCTTTGTATGGCAAATGTCACCTTCCCAACTGCTCTTCCCTTCCTTTGCATTCTGAGTACCCCCATTCCCAGGTCCCCATGGCATTCATGTGTTACAGATGAAGGCAGAAGCCCAAAAGCTTAACAAAACAATCTGATCCTGAACTCTTTTTTGTCAGTTACTTTATATGCACACACACACACACACACTCTCCATTTCCTTGACTGTGTCTCTTTTTCATACTCTAGTAAGACAAAGAAATAGAAACCAGGCAGTGTTGTATAAATGAGGGAGCAGAGCTGTGCAAATAGTGACAGGCTCAGCACTCAATGCCTTCCGCTAAGTTTTATGGGACAACCTCAGATGGTGTTGCCAGGGGTCCCTGTATAACTCAGAACCTTCCACTGCATCTCCAGGCATAAAAATGAGCATTTTGCTGGTAAAGACGTTCCAGGCCTGTGACTAGAAAAGGCCTTAGTTCAGTGATAGAACATATGCTTTATATGCAGACAGTCTCATTTCTATCCTTGGCACCTCCTGCTAAAAGCCTTTGGGCAGGAGGGTTCCAGAGGACCTTGCATGAGACCCTGAAGTGCTGCCTCTAGGCAGAGTTGGTAATACTGATATAGATGAGCTAATTACTTAGCATAAGGCAGTTTCTTATGTTTCCAAGGTAATGTTGGTGATTTTGCTTACTTCGTATAATAGGTGAAGGGAGGTGCCATTGGTTAGTGGTAAAGGGCGTGTGTTGGAAGGTCCTGCCTCAATCCCTTAAAAGACCTATGCCTGAGACCTTGGAGCGCTATTGCCAGTTGTAGTAGATAGTATTGGGCTAGATGAGCAAATGATCTGATTCTGTGTAAGGCCACTACAAATGTTAGTGTGACTTGTTCATGGTACTATCTCTCTGAGCAAATCTCTATTCAGCACTGCTTATTTGTATTTGACAGACCTTGGAGGGCAATGATTTCATCCCAGTTCTTGGTATACTTATAAGCACAGACAAATTAGCCCCCTGCTGGATCTCTCTCAAAATATGCGCGGTGGTTTTTCTGCTGTAGCAGAGGCTATGGGGTACTTGACTCACTCCCTTGTGCCTGCACAGCAGTCTTTCTAATTACAGGGGCATGTGTGGGATGTTTTTAGCCACATGTCCCGCTTTTCCTGCAGCTGAATTGACCTCTAGAATGGAATTTTACAACTGTGCCAGCCTTCTCAAGTCTGATGGGGTCTGAAACCTATATGGAGATCCTAGGATGGGGGGAAGGTAACTGGAGCACATTGTTAGTAAGCATGAATTCTGCCACTGTAATGTGGCCATGAACATAACTGGGGTGGATACTGTCGCATCCTTTGGGTGAACCAGATTTGGAATGCAGCTACTACAGATGTGGCATCAGCAGATGATGCTTTTTTTACTCCAGCCACTGCAGTTTCAGTTTTCTCGCCCCTGTTCCCATTTCTGCACAGGGAGAAGTAGTAGTTAGAGCAATAAAGACTTATTATATTTAATGTCTTAGCAATAACACTACTGCAGAAGCAGAATATGGTGCTTCTATGAAACCAATACCACCTGTAATTTAAGTAACTACTAACATGTCTTTGACAAGTGGATTGTTGTTACTCTTGCTAGCACACACTGGCAATACTAATTAATATAATACTAGTGGAGTCCTCCACAGTCAGTGGTGCATTACTTTCAGCTCTCCTTCCTAATTCAAAATTGTGAGGCTTACAATTCTTGCCTACTTCTGCTCATCCATGGCTTCCCTTCCACTCATTATGGCATGTCAAAGATAATGAACAAACCAGGTTGTACCATGTTTATCTGTTCCTTAGACCTTTTGTATCCCATGTACTGCAAAGAGGGGACAGTGAGGCGAGGATTTGGTCCACATTCATGCCCATTATTAGAAGATTGACCTCTATAGGTCTCTAACCAGGGTTATTTTTTTCACATGGACTGTAGCCCTCTGTACAATCCTGCAATGAACTAATAGGAATACATAAGGAATTCTGTTAGTTGCCTTGGGGTGTGAGTCTGGGGCACTGAGAACATGGGAATGTTGACCCACTGCTTTATGCTGTCATTTCAGGGGGATCTTCCTAGACACCATCCTTCCCAAATACAATGTGAATGGGATGCAGCCTTCCATTGGCCAGCGTACTCGACTGAGCAAAGGAGATATAGCCCAGGCTCGCAAGCTTTACAAATGCCCTGGTAAGTTGCTGACTGCGCATTAGCCAAGGAAGAATCAAGCTCCTGTTGCTGCCACTAACACTGAGTGTATATTTATTGCAAGTAGTTAGAAAATGCTAGGGGCTGCATTGGAAGATGCTGCATTTGAAGTAAAATGGCTCATTTCCAGAGGACTCTCAGTCTAAGGGCTTTACCAGACAATAAATTTATAGCATGAAAAGAAGGGGGAAATACTGAATTCTTAATGTAATTTGTCATAAGGGATCCATACATCTTCCGTGAAAGGAAGGGTTCCTGTTTCGAGGACAGCTTATTTTCTCAGCATTCAAACTGCCAAACATTATTGGTGGGAAAATACTGTTCTCTTCTGCAGTTAAGAGTAGGGTTGGGCACAAACTGGAAAAATACAGTTTGTGTCAGTTTATGGTTCATGGCCGAACTATGAACAGAACCACAAATGAAACCTGTAGATTTTTTCGCAAACCAAACCAGTTCATAGCCCTGCAAATCCCATTGAAAGGGACTGCAGTCCCTTTAAACAGGGTTTGCAGAAAACTTTAAAGGGACTGCACAAGAAAGCATGAAAGCTATTTTTCACACTTTCTTTTTCGGCACCTTTAAAGTTTAAAAGGACTGCACAAGAAAGTGCAAAACAACTAAGTGGTGGGGAGCAGAGTGCTACCCGCCGCTCAGCTGTTTTTGTGGCTTTTGTGGGGAAAGAAAGCAAAGGTTTAAAGGGACTCAGAGTCCCTTTAAATCCCTGCTTTCTGCTCTGTCCACTTTTAAATCCCTGCTTTCTACTCTATCCACAAATCACCACAAACTGATTTAAAAGTTTGTGGAAGTTCATGATGGTAGACCTGTCATGAACTTTGGTTTGGCAACCACAGTGTCAAAATTCATGATGATCAGTTCATGCCCATCCCTATTAGAGAGGTCTGTTGCAATATGAAACAGTACTGAGAGTGTGGTTGTACAAGTGTTTAGTGTCCTGTGACATCACTGTTGATGAGCAGAGCACATTGCTCTCCATCATGCCTGAACCATCTAGTGACCATAACACCAGAACTCAGTTTGGTGAGCAAGGGATTTGTATAAGAGCTGAAATTTACTAATCTCAACAAGGTATGTGGGTGTGGAAATGCTCCGTCCTTTTGTCAGTTTCGCACCCCCCACAGATTGCAACTTTTCTTATCATATTGGAATGTTGGCAGATTAAGTGCTCTTCTACTGAAATTGTGCCTTCAGTGCACTGGTGTGATTAGTTTCTGGTGAATCACTGCAGCTCTAAGCCAGTTGCAGTTACAGTCTTCGAAGGCAGTCCTCTGTAAAGCCCATGCTGGCAATATGGCTTCAGGGGTACATAAGAACATAAGAGAAGCCAATGTTGGATCAGGCCAATGGCCCATCTAGTCCAACACTCTGTCACAGAGTGGCCAAAAATACCAGGTCCAGCAGTGGGGCCAGGACACTAGAAGCCTTCCCACTGTTGCCCCCCCCCAACACCAAGAATACAGAGCATCACTTGCCCCAGACTGAGTGTTTCTATCTATACCTTATGGCTAATTGCCACTGATGGACCTCTGCTCCATATGTGTATCCAATTACCTCTTGAAGCCGTCCATGCTTGTAGCCGCCACCACCTCCTGTGGCAGTGAATTCCATGTGTTAATCACTCTTTGGGTGAAGAAGTACTTCCTTTTATCTGTTCTAACCCAACTGCTCAGCAATTTCATTGAGTACCCATGAGTTCTTGTATTGTGAGAAAGGAAGAAAAGTACTTCCTTCTCTACCTGCTCTATCCCAGGCATAATCTTGTAAACCTCTATAATGTCACCCCTCAGTCGTCGTTTCTCCAAGCTAAAGTGCCCCAAGCACTTAACCTTTCTTCATAGGGAAAGTGTTCCAACCCTTTGATCATTGTAGCTCCCCTTTTCTGCACTTTTCCCAATGCTATAATATCCTTTTTGAGATGTGGTGACCAGAAATGCACATAGTATTCCATTTCCAAATGAGGTCACACCATCGATTTATACAGGGGCATTATGATATTGGCTGATTTGTTTTCAGTTCCCTTCCTAATAATACCCAGCATAACATTTGTCTTTTTTATTGCAGATGCACACTGTTTTGACATTTTCAGTGAGTTATCTGCTACGACTCCAAGATTTCTCTCTTGGTCAGTCTCTGCCAGTTCAGACCCCATCAATGTGTATTTATAGTTAGGATTTTGGCCCCAATGTGCATCACTTTGCACTTGGCCACATTAAACCCCATTTGCCACAGTGATGCCCACTCACCCATCCTCAAGTGCCACACAGTCCTCCCTGGTTTTCACCACCCTGAACCATTTTGTGTCATCCGCAAATTTATCCCCTTCACTGCTTGCTCCCACCTCCAAATCATTAATGAACTAGTTAAAAAGCATCGAACCCAGTACTGATCCCTGCAGTACCCCACTGCTTACCACCCTCCACTGAGAAAATTTCCCATTTATACTCACTCTCTGTTTCCTATTAATTAGCCAGTTTTTGATCCACAAGAGGACTTGTCCTTTTATCCCATGACTATTGAGCTTACTTAAGAGCCTTTGATCAAAAGCTTTCTGGAAGTCAAGGTAAACAACATCTATTGGGTCCCCCTTGTCCAGGAATGGCCTGTCATAATTTCTAATTGTGAAAGAGAAGCTCCTAGCCTTTTTCCTGTGTAAAAATTCATGATCATTCATCATTGGCTCCAAATGCAGTGGATATACCCAATGTTAACAAGTGCTTGTGGCCTTTGGAGGCTAAATTAGTGCAGGCTGTCCACTAAGGTATGTTTATACATCTTAATATACCCTGTGTTTCCTGGTTTGACTACCCTTAACTTCAGCTCAACCCTGATGGTAGTGCATGCCCATGAAGGCTGTGGTTGAGGAGAGGTAGCGACTGTGGTATGCTTTATATGTGGAAGGTTCCTGGTTCTCTACAGGCATCTCCAGTTAAAAGGATGCAATTAGCAGGTATTTGGAAGTACTTTTTTTGTTTACAGAGACTCAGGAGAGCAACTGACCTAGATGGACCAACAGTCTAACTTGATACAAGGTGGCTTCTTATGTACTAAATCCTCTTGGGTCTCTAGTAGCTCAAATGTTGCTTAAAAACTTGTGGCATTGAAATTTATTTCAATACAAGCAATTCTGCCTGCAGATCTAGTGCCAGACTTATTGCAGCACACCAGCAATGACGCAGATCCAGGTTTGTTTGCCAAGGCTGAGGATGAAGCAACTCGTAGCTACAATTTTACACATTTTACATGTGTGTTTCGTTTCCTACACTATATTTTATGGCTATTTGCAACGTCAGTAATATTCAAAAGCTGGGAGCTGAGCCTGAGCGAAGAGGAGGCTGAGTCAAATCAGTGAACCCAATTTTGTTCTGAGGGATGGTGGAGAGCCTGTCGCACTGGTAACCCTTCTTCATGCAACAGCTGTGCTGTCTTCTTGTCTGAATCTCATGCTATTGGTTTGGTTCTCACCGGGGCTTTCTTTTTTCTTTTTTAATATTGGTGCCATAACTCTCAAGGGGGAAATGAAGTTTTCAATCTGCATACTGAAAACTCATGAACTTTTAAATATTTTAAAAGAATTTTGTCAAAGAGGTTCTGGAACTCCATTCCGGTGCGTTCCCCCAGGAAAAAAAGCCCTGGTTATCACTTCTTTGCTAAAGAGATGAAAAAAAGTTAATGTGGGAAAAATGGAAATGGTTCAGTGTGTCCATGATGAGACATTTCCCTGGGGGGAATTACGATGGAAGACGATTCTTTGCCTTCAGTGGAGTGAAATCAGCTTGTTGCGGCTGGACATAGCCGAGCCTGGAATGTTCCGGCCCTTCCGTTGCATGTTATAATCCCCCTAGGGTCTGACCTCATGCTGTAGTCTGAGTTCTTCCCATTGCTTTATGAATGGAAACAGAGTGACATAACACAGGGTTTTGGAGCTGAACTGGACGGATGGCTCCCATCCTTCACCAAGGTTTTGGAGGTCATCCAGTCTACGCCAGGTCTGGCTCTAGATGCTCAGCAGATGTCAGAACAGAAGGCAGGGGACCAGGAGCCAAAAACAAACAGGAGTGTGTGAAACTTTTGCTTCCTGTTTGACTCCCAAGGCTTGATCTGGCCTGGAGCTTCACAATATCTATCCCCTACTGGATATCTTTTTCCACGGAGAAGAAAAAGGCTTATAAACAGAATGCAGTTGGGAGTTTTGGGTTTGTTTGGGGCTTTCTGTAGTAAGGATTCTGGGCAATCCAGAAGCAACTTTTCTGAATGTGTAAGTTTCCCAGCAGGAAGGAAATGTTTACAGGAAAATGGGTAAGAAGAAGTGGGTAGAAAGACAATTGGGATGGTGAATATTGGGGGCAGGGTAGGAGCATTATCAGAACTGTGTATTGAAGGCTTTGTACAAGGCATCTGCCTCCATTTTTCCACTTTGATGCTCACTCATTTGCCCCTAAACAATACAACCAAATTTCCCATCCCCTTGCTATTGTCTTTATGGGGGCACCACATTACTTCAGCTGTAACAAATCCCTCTGAATTTTATAACGGCTGCAAAGCAACAGGGAGGAGGAGATGTTCTGTAGAACGATGTCACGTATCAGGCAATGGAAGATTAGGGACTTGGATCATTGCCCATAGAACATAACCATGGAGATACACTCGTAGTTACAGTTGCTTAAGCAGCATTACCCCCGCCAGCCAAGCTGTAAACTGGATATCGACAGAAGGTGGCTTCACATATTATCAGGACATGACAAAAGACAGTTCCCAAGTGACTTGCACGGCCTTTTTCAGAACAACATGTGAAGGGGGAACTTGCATCGCTACCCACAAGGAAGATTTTCTGCTTTATTAAGACTTACACATTAAATGAACATTTAGTAGAACAGATTGAAAGCTGATTTCCCAAAGTGGGATAGCCAGACTTCTAAAGAGGGGAGGGGATGTGAAGATTTTAGTGACGGAAATGCACAGAAATG